GAGTTTGAGGAAATAATTTGGATAACGGTGCGATTCATCTCTCCGAACCAGGATCAATCAATCTCGGAAGGATATAAGGCTTGCCGCTTGGTCTGGGGCGTCAGTATCCCAGTGGGAGTAGCACAGTGCCTACATCAACAGAGACAAACCTCCAGTACTAGCACTATAATTGTGCTTCTATTCTACAATATGTTTTGCCAATAACATCCCTACTCCATTGAATTGGCGTACATCCGACCTGATTCAAAGTAGGGTTTTGATGAACTGTATTCATATCACCTCGATACCTTCAATTCACATCAGTGGCTTCTGGCAGGGTGGCACCAGAAGGAACTGCTGCTAATTGTCCCGTTTCTCCAGACGTGGTAGCTATGGTTTTCGATGCACTCTTACATTCTTACAACTCTTAAAACCGCGAGAGAGCATACCACTCCTTGGTGAAGCTCCGCCTTCGCCTACATCTACTACCTCGCCCTCAGATCTGTTCAGTAGACCGCTATGTTGTGGACGGGTCTCATCTGTCTTTTTACCTTGTGCCAAGCACAAGAGATCAAACACTTGCCAGGAGTTAGGTTCAAACTCAATTTCAAACACTATTCCGGGTTCTTCCAAGTTTCCGACACTCATGTACTTCACTACTGGTAAGCTAGCTTCGAAGTGGTGAAAGTCCCCCGAAATTACACTTCGATCTAAACTGCAATAAAAAAAATAATTCAAACGACTTAAGGTTCGTTGAGTCTAAGAATGATCCCGCAAGGGATCCACTAATCTTCTGGTTCAATGGTGGTCCAGGATGTTCCTCGTTGGGCGGCCTTCTCATGGAGATGGGACCGTACTTGGTAAAACCTGACGCTAGAAGCCTCAGGAAGAACCCCTATTCTTGGAATCAAGTAGGTTCATTGACGACCTGAGGAAGGTCTTAATTTTTTTCCTACAAAAGAAGTACGGCTTTCAGATGGCTACAGTGGTGTATATCGAATCCCCTGCGGGAGTCGGATACTCCTATTCCACTGATGGGAACATCACCACCAACGATGACCAGACTTCACTCGAGAACTACGAAGCTGTCAAACAATTCTTTCAGGTAGTCTTAAAATAAGGGTTAAATTTTTTTGAAGGCGAGTCCAGTTCAAAATCACAGACTTTTCCTCAATTCCGACATCACGCTACTTTCATCATGGGAGAATCGTACGGAGGTGTATATGTACCAACATTGGCTGACAGAATCCTTGTTGGCCAAAAAGACTTTCCCATCAATCTGAAGGTAAGTCTGAGCTCAGGTAACACTCTGTATCTGGCAGATGGCTGCAAATGTTGCTTTCAAAGGGAATTGCACTTGGGAATGGTTGGGTACACGAAAAGTTAAACATAGACACTTCCATTCGATACGCTTACGGTCACGGAATCGTCGATGAAGAGACATGGTATACACTCCAAAGGGATTGTTGCGGAGGCTGCATCGAGTCTTGCGATCTCACTCAGGTACTAAACGTTGAGGCGTTGTTCTTCCCCATGAGTTTAATTCTCGCTTGCACAGCTCAGGAAGTAAAAGTCGCAAGTGTTTGAGCATAGTTCCAGGGACAGTCTGGACCAGTTGTAATTGGAATTACACAGGATTTGCCACAAATATTGGTAGGGAACCAAGGTTGTCATAATCTCTGTATCGTCTCATGTTATAGTACTCTCGGAAGAGGTACTCGTTTGCCTTCCAAAGAAAATCCTCAGTTGGCAGACTATCTTGCTTTCGGGTCCAGCAAAATTTTTGTACCGGCACTGTTCCATTTCATTTACAAGAGTGATTTGAACTTAAGTTTACTGGTCGTTGTGCCACTATGGTCGAAGACATCGATAATTTCCTCTGGTCCGGTGAGCTGAATCCCTATGATTTGTTC